CTCTGGTAGTTTCTGTAGAAAACGTCTCCTCTGGTAGTTTCTGTAGAAAACGTCTCCTCTGGTAGTTTCTGTAGAAAACGTCTCTAACGACTTTATATTAAATCAAACTGTGCAAATGCAGGTAATTGAAATAGTTTGTTTTTCTCCACTGCAGTTTCCACGACAACGCAGCAAACGATCGACTCTGGGGGATCTCGTGCAAAGCTTTCCAGGCGACCAAGGCCTGTTTCTGGTCAGATCAAGTCAACGACTTCCAGGGACAGATGAACTTCAACTGTCCAGACAACAAAGTGATTGCAGGGGTCTACAGTGTCTACAGGAGTTTATCCACAGACCGACAGTGAGTTCCTGTTTGAGGTTCCTCTGTTTTCAAGTGCAGCTGCAGTGAAACACTTCATCATAAGAACTGCGTTGATGTGGGACGTAGGTGAGCTCCTGGTGTTTGTGTTGCAGGTGGAAGTTCCTGTGCTGCAGTGCACCTGACGTTTCCTTGTTCAACTGCAAAGATGAACCAGTGATCAACTACTGGGACGAATACTTCAGCTGGAAAGTGGCCAGCAACAATTACCTCACAGGAGTGAAAAGCTCTTTTGACACTCACACAAAGTACGAACTTTCGTCTCAGCCTCATTTATATTCACAGCCATTCCATTTACGTTGTCGTCCTCGTGTGTGAAAGTGTTTGAAACGCTCTCGTTTTGTCATCGACAGGGATCGTCGATGGAGTTTCTCGTACTGTCAGAGGAAGGTTCAGTGAAGCTGCTTCTCAAGAGACAAGTGACTGATGAGTGTGTCCGATCATCATGACACCACCTGCAGGTACTTCTGAGAAGTGCATGACCAGGAAGGCCACCGACCTCCTGAGTCCAGCACCTGAAGTACCAGCTTTCATTGTTTCTATTGTTTTATCAGATTTCTGTTGAAGAAAATTCAACCTCCATCTGCGAGTTGTCGTCAGAGATTTAAAAGACTCTGTTGCACTTTATTAAAGCAGCGGCTCTGTGAGCGTCACTGGGTTATAATGGGCGGCATTTATCAAGATCAGAAGTGCTGATGTAAGATCATTAAGAAAGCGCCTGCAGCCATCTCCTCTCATAATGACCTGAGCAGAGAGACCGGCCTCAGTCCCGCTGCACAAAACAAACCCCGTCAGTGTGGAGGTGGTGTTTCAATGCAGCGGCTCAGGGACGTCGGTTTTTCTCAGGACTTGTGTCAGCGTCGGACGATGGCGTGTGTTGTGTGTGTGGAGCAGCTGGCAGACGGATGTTGTGTTGTTTTCCCTCCTCTCTCTCCTGGTGTGTCTTCTTCGGGTTGTGAACCTAAACACTTTCATCGCCTTGTTTTGCAAAGAACTGCTGATCTAGATTAGATCCTGGGCTCGTCCCTCTGTCAGGTGGAACCGGACCTGGCTGCGTTTGTGACTGTTTATCATTCAGCTGTGAATTTACAATGAAATGCTCTGATCTGATTCCTGTGGAGCAACTCATGTGCATATTGTACATTCAGGGGCATCGGCAAAAAAACTGTAATGTATCTTGAGTGTTTAACTTTTTTATTTTCTTGAAATAAAGTCAACATAAAAAACTGGGTTTTTATGCTTCATCTTTTTGAGAATAAACTTTTCCTACATTTCAGTATTTATTGTGTGATCGATTTTAACACACAACAATAATGTTTAAGAATCCGAGACACAAAAACAAGATGCAACTTTGAATCCTGCACCAACATGACGAGGTGGTGGAGGTCACCACAGTGTGACCAGCAGGGGGCGACTCCACTGCTTTTTAAGAGGATGCAGTGGGTGGAGTCACACTCCGTCAGGGACTTTCTCTAAAGTCGCTCTAATGAACGAACTTCCCGACAGATTGATTCATGTACGTTTGATTTCATCCCGTGAAACATCTCAGCACCTGGAGGATGTGCAGCTCCTTCACCGATGTTCATGGTCGCTGCATCGTTCTCTTCGGGTTTACGATCAGATATCTGCAGAACCGATGTCCCTCCCATCAGCCTCAGCGGCGCTCATTAAAAATGTTCAGTGCAGATTAGTAAATGTCGTCATTCAGAGTTTAACCAAACACAATCTCCTCGGTTTTAAGGTCACGGTCGCTGTCGTTCGTAGAGTCTGTCACACTGCTGTGTTTCATACAGAGCGGCTGACGGCTCTGCAGCAGCTGACTCGGGCGGAGTTGTCTCATTCTGCCCCTCCAGATGATTCCAGGAGATAATCCAGAGGCCGAACAGCTGAGAGACACAAACGACAACAGAGCCACACAGCTCCCACAGGGAACAGGATTCCTGAGAGTCTGTGCAGAACGAAGAGGGGAGGAAAAGAGGACGAGAAACAAATCGATGGGGGGG